TACCGTGCGACGGATTTCTTCGTCGCGGCCGAAGACAGGGTCGAGATTGTTCTTCTCTGCGCGCTCCACCAGGTCCTGGCCATAGGTCTCGAGGGCCGAATAAGTCATTTTGTTCGTTCGAATTTGGGGATTTTGAGTTGCGATGGTTGAATCTGAATTCTGAAGGGATTTTAAAATGTGTTGGGGAGAAGGTGAAGAGATGGTGATCTCGAGCAGAGGAAGCGTCTGGGGAGGAAGACGAGAAACAGAGCGCTCCATGGATTTCTTGAGAAGGAGCATGAAATTAATTCCATAATTTTGGATAATTGTGAAATGGGTGTTTATGAATCTTTTTGAAGTTCAAGGTACAGGAACAATGTACCATCATGAAGTTCAGAATTAATCGGATTTCGCGAGGGGGGAGAAAAACATTTCCAAAATATAAGAACTAAATTAAAATAAATAAAAGAAACATCAAATCTGAATAGCTAGATAATTCAAAGAAAAATACTACATAAGAATTAAGAATAAAATAATCTAAAACTAATTAAAAAAAGTGCGTGTTTTTTAAAAAAGTATAATCAAGAGCCTTGAACTTACTCTTAGTCAGAAAGATATGTCAATTATAGCTGTACTAAATTGATGTTAGAAAAAAAAGTTATACATATCTAAAATGTCACATACTAAAAAGTATCACGTTAGTTTTTCATTGATCAACTAATATTTTCGAACAAATTAAAACAATGACAATTTAGAATCATTGACTAAATAGACATCAAATTCAAAATTCATCGACCAAAAATATTTGGCCTGAACATTAAAACTATATAAATAAAATTAATAATTTAACCTATCATTTTTTGTTCATATATATTTATTATTATAAAAAATCTATTATCTCATCAATTTAGCAAATTGAATTTTGGTGAATAAAATTTATTACTGATATTTAGCTTGATTCCAATTTCTTTTAAGACAATTTATTACAACTTTGAGGGTTTTTTCAATTTTATTTTAAAATTTAATTTTTAATCCTTTGGGTTTTAACATTCTTCAATTCATTTCTTATTTGTTCCTAGAATTAATGGATGAGAAACTTACATGATATGTTCCTAGAATTAATGGATGAGAAACTTACATGATATGATGTTTAGTAAATTAACGAACATTTAGACAAGAAAAAAAATGTTATTTTAAAATTTTATCTTTTCTTCTCTAATTTTTTACAAAGTATTATTCTAAGTTTATCATCGATCAATTTATTAACAATGAAATACTAAATTTAAAAATGTTAAAATATAAAAGATTAGATTGACACTTTTTAAATAATAAAGACTAAATTGAAAAGAAAAAAAAACCTCTAGAACCTATCGTTTTTTTTTAATAAGAAATTCGAACCTATCTAAATTAGAAAATGTGAGAAAATGTTAATTCTTGCACGTATTTTTTATTAAGAATTATCATGCATGCGTCTTAATTAACTGGTAGTAACCAAATTAGAATACAAAACAAAACCAAATTGAACGATCGTTTTAAATTTAGTTGTCACTAACTTATCCTAAATATTTATGATAACTTAAATTAAATATCAAATATAACAATTTCGATGGTCAACAAAGTTTTTTTGTTGGTCCAATGAAAACGAGGACATAAAAATAACAGCAATGTAATTTAGACACTTATTTGTGAATCAAATATGGGGGGAAAATAAATTAAATAATTATTTAAAAGTATTATTTCGTTTAAAAAAAATTGTATTGGTAATTTTTACATCAAATAATCAAAATAACAGTTCAATTCTTTAAGTAATATTATCATTAAATAAATAAATACCACTGCGTGGTTATTGATTCCAAGTTGGCCCTATTGATAGGAGACGAAAAGGAACTGCACCAATCCTTCACTTTCTCCGGACGGAAGCAGTCAATAAGCTTCCATGGCAGTTCATTCAGGCCAGGCCATAGCCAACGGAAAACCTCCATTGATCAGTACCAGAGAGTTCGGTTCAGAGCTCACAAAAACCCGTCTTCTGATCTCGGCGGGGTGCCAATGCCAATCGATCCATGGCATAGAATCACAAAGCTTCTTCCTGATAACTCCGATATCGTGGGGAGGACCATTCCTATCCTCTTTAGGAGAGGTTAACATGCATCTCCTCACCAACTAATTCAAATATTTCATCTACTCTGCAGTGCCAAAAAATTTTAATCAACAAACTTCTGTTCATACTACGACATGCCTGCTTAAGTAAAAGAAACTATTGTTCCATCTAACCTTTTAGTGTGTATGTTCACTTCTGCAAGCCACGTGACAAGGTAGACCTGTTCCAACTCATGTTAATAGTGTTGTTGCGGAATATCAAAACCGAAAAGCATAGTTCCATAGTATGAAGAGAGGAAAGTAATATTGGAAGGCTGCATTTATGCATGTCTTATGAATATGCACTATTCAGGACTGATGAATAATGATGGATAGCAAAGAGTTCAAGACCTGCAAAACTTCTGGGTTTGGCTGATGATGGTTACGACTAAGGATAGGAGTATTGGATTTGTGACTCTCCAAGGTTGGACAGAGTGGTTCGCCAGTTTCCTTGGAGTACAAGTTGCACAAACGCAAGTCATTGAATTCTCCCAGGTAAAGCTCCTCTGACCAGACCCAGCTCTTTCGTGATGGAACTTCAGAACTAATAGAAAGTAGTTCTATCAAAAGCAGCCGCTGGACCAGCCAAGTAACACAAAGAAAATATATTATGTAAAAGAGTCCATATTGACGACGACTCAAAACAGAGAACAGAAAATATATACTCCTACGGTCCTACCTTCAGATTCAGCTCCAACCCAAACATTTGAACAAGCTCCTCTGCCAATTTCTCTGAGTTTGTTTTAGGGGGAAAAAAACACTCATAGTAAGTTTGTGTCAATCCTAATTTCGTCACTCGTCACGTTCAATTCTTTCCTACTGTATCTAAACAAAGTACATTCAATAACAAAAAACTTATTGGTATTCACCAAAATATCAATTGTTGTCTATTGAAGACTTCAATTACTCCCTTGTCAAGTATAGGCCTCATATTCTTCCATCTAGAGCGAAAAACCAGACATATTTACAGACAATTCTCAAATTGCATGCCACTGTTAAGATGATGAGGTAATCATATCATGCAATAATTTGGAACACATAATGTTGGTCTTGCACCCACATCTAATGATACGGAGATATTCAATTATAAGATATTAGAATGAAAGATTAATCTCCAGAAACTCTATCCGTCCCAGCAGCAGCACTTCCCCAGGATTGCCGTGGGGTTTGGGCATAGAAACCTAGCAATGGCTTATAGAATGATATTTTTCCAGTAATTAGTGCATTGTTTCCTATGTAAAGAGAAATGTTTAACCTCCTTTGCCTTCATATGTGGGACTAGGGTTAATTTGGTCAAAGGATGTCTCTAGCAAAGTAAAACTTCTAGAAAAATATCCACAATCAAAACGTAATCCATTGCCATAAATGAGGGTGCTTATATCACAGTTTGATTTAACTTACAAATAACAACTAGCAAATGCACCATTTTGTTAAAAAAACATGCTACCAAGGACTTAAAAATCAACCAATCATAATCATATGGAGTGACAAAATTGATTTGCATGATCTCACTGAACAACGAAAGAAACAGGTAGGATAAATATTATAGTTGTTAACGCACCAAAGCAAGGGATTGTCAAAGATGTAAATACCGCGATGCCACCACCATCTCCAGCGTCATCATGATTATCCTCAGAGCTAGTAGAAAATTTTATGAGTGTGCTACTACCTGATCCCTTGAAATAGCATCTCATCAATCTGCTAGTGTTGACCATCTGAACTACAACATCAACCTGCAAAAAACTTTTGAAAACACATATGTTAGAAAACATCAGTTGAATAGGGAAATGGCAGAATTATGTGCAGAGAAGGAGAAACTTCACTATTTGATTCGTCAATTTATTATTGGCATTAAAGGAGGTCAAACATATTTTGCGTTTAATCCATATCCTATAAGTTTTTGGCTAAAATGAAACTTCAAATTTATCCATACAAGTTAGTTATTTGCAGTCAGGGAGAAAGAGTTTCGATTATGCCATATAGCTTCCTCAGATTATATAACAAAAACATAGCTAAAAGTCATTAAAAAAAAAAACCTTAGGCAGAGTGAAAAGATAATTAAGACAGTAGATAACATATTGATTTGGCGTATTTTCTATTGGATCGACAGAACAAAACCCATACCATGTCCTTGTACAAAGATATGAGTTTGCTTCGATAAAGTTCCTGAAACAAGATTGGACAATACACAGAGAGAGAGTAAGAATCAATAAGTATGCTCGCATAGATATGGATATCCCATCTTGTTGTACTTACAGATTAAAGCAATACACAAACACATACAAAAAGAACGCTAGGCATGCAATGACTAACCAATAGGTACTCTGAATATAACTCTCATGATACAACATGGTAAGGGAAAAATGATTTCAAATCCAAACTAACTACGGATACAAAAAGGATTAAGCTAATGTGGGAGATTACATTCATCCCACTACGCCCAAAAGTCATGTATCAGCAGTTTTTTAGAGCACAAGTTGGAAAACAGGAACCCTATTCTAATATCATATCAAATCACTGCTGGACCAAAAAAATTTAAGTTGATAGATTAGGATATATTTAAATATATTGTTAACACAACCTGATAAAAAAGTCAAGAAAACAAAATAACAGGCTCTGGGGCAATCACACTGAGAAATTGAATTTCAAACTTCAGACTATCAGCCGAGACAAGGATTACCTGCTGCTTAGACAATTTCAAACAAGCCTTTTTTCGTATATCAAGCATGTCAGTGAGAGAACCCAGCTCCATAGAAGGCATATACCTGCATCAAACCAAAGAAATCCCAAACTATAGAACCAACAAAATAACTATATTATGCCTTAGCAAATAGAGGACATTACGGCAGTACTTTTGAGAGAGATATGCGTTGACGATGGAGGTAGCATGAGATCGCCCGGTTGAAGAAAAAGAAGCCCATTGTTGTTTGAGTGAAGACAGCTTCGACCATTGATTCCGAATGTTCCTTTGCGCTGATGGCCTCCATAGCCTTATTACTGACGGAAGTAGAGGCGATGAGCTTGGAGTTGAACTGCTTCCAGATTTCAAAGCAGTTCCTTTAGAAGAAGGAGGCGTAGAGAAACACTGAGTCTCCATCGCGACTAGGGTTTCTCGTCCCGTCCGACGAATAGGAGGCGTCGCGGCGATCAGAAGCAGAGTGGTGAGAGTTGAGAAACTTGAGAGTGATAAAGAAAAGGTGAAGGGGTTGGTTTTCCTTGCCTATCAGATTAACTGAAAAACCGGACCGATATCGGTTCTGGATATTTGCTAGTCTTCACGCTATTTTAGAAACTTATTTAAAGAAATATCTAAAATTTTTTAATTTTACACTGTATGATTTTTTTATAATACTAATTTTACCCTTGTTTATTGCATGTATATTTATTATTGTTATATTTTTTTATTGCAATCTAAAATATTTAAATCTCTAAATTGTAGACACAATCATTTAATTATTGTGGGACTCATATCAACATCAATTTCTTCCCACGTTTTACTGCCACATGCACTAATATTAAGGTGAAGTTTTGCTTCTACTCACCTTTTCTTCTTTGGTTTAGTGCTACTCAAAACCTTTTATATGGTTGCTGCTTTAATTTTTTTTGGTGAGAAGAAGATTCTTCCATTTCCTTTGGTTGTTGATGGTAAAATATAGAAGGATTCATTTAGTTTTTTTTTTGTGAGAATAAGTTCTTTGTTGCTTGATGTTATCGAGATAGAATATAGAAATATTCCTTTAGTTTTTTTTATCTTGCAATTTGGTATTTAAATAAAAGATATAATATATATCCGGATATAATCTTTAACTATTGAAGTTTCAATCTCATATAAACTTATATAGTGTAGATATATATTTATATCTGCATATAACATTAATCTATTCTATAAATTTAGACACCTGTTGGTTACAATTTAGAACCCTTTGTGCAAGTGTACACAACCGATGTAGCAAGTGATAAAAAGTTCGTATCCACAGGGATTTGATAACTAAACACTTCAACAATTTCTTAAGAAAATAAACAAATTAACAAAATATGTTTTGAACAAGAAAAACTCAAGGAACTCAAATAAAATAATGCATGTATGATTTGTTAAGTAAGAACAAGCAAAACGAAATCGATTAAAGAAAAATATGCAAACAAGAGGTTAATTACTGATATTTAAAAGGGTAAGGGGGAAGAGTTTGTGTGACTTTTTCTAGACTACTCTAACGATGTTGTAACATTAACGATGTTGATATACTGGCCAAACAGACATGAAATCTTCCTAGATTTCCAGATTTTCTGCTATTCATGTTTTTAGACAAACTTGACAGCATGTATACTCAGTTTATAACCTTGCTAGGTGAGCCTTATTCCTAAGCTCAAGTAGATCTAGCATGAGTTGAAGCCAAACACATCTTATTACAATTTTCCAAGAGTTAATAAGAAGATATTCCAATATGTTGGCCAAGCACATTGAAAATAAAACGTTAAAAACAACTTCAACTCAGTATATATATCATCATTAAAACCAAAGCAAAGTTTATAGCCCAAAAACAAATTCACAGCATCTCCCTTACAAATAAACTTAGCTACTCAATACCATACAAGAAAATGTAAGAAGGAAATACAAAACCAGTGCACTTAAGAGTACAAAAGAAGAAGAAAATGAAGAATAGCAGCAATCATTCTCCCTTTGTTGTCTTCTTCAATGGTTTCTTGAGAGCTTTCTTCAAGTGAGAGTGAAGTGATCGAATGAGAAATGTTGGAGAGTTGTTGGAGGCAACCCTAATTGCAAGCTTTTATACCCCTCTTGATTTTAGAGCAACACAATGAGAAAATGGGCCCCAGCTCAGCATATCAAGTATTTTTCCGTTTTACTGCAGTAATTTCTTAGGTAAAAGCTGCAGATGTCAACTCTGTCTTTTTCTGCCTTTTTTCTTCCGATGCTGCAGCATCAGCAAAGCTGCAGAAAAACATTCAAAATTAAGTTGTTCTTCATAACTCTCAACATCATAAAAAATAAGGAAGATAGTGATTTTACAACCTTCTTTGCACAAAATCAGTGTAGATTGGGTGTTAGTGTGGCTACCCTTAGCTAATTTATATGGAATTCTTGCACAAATAACTATCTTTTGGATAGTTATCAACACCCTAGTACATACTTCATTATTATGAATTGCTCTTATTAATATTAACCTAGCAAATGTAATCCAATCCAATACAATTACAAGATAAACCTATATGTTAAATATAAAATATATCCGACTATCGAGTTTCTATAACTACCAAAATGATACTTAGTTGTAGATATATGTTATATTCGCATATATAGAAGATTCATACCAAAATTTCGCACCATTCAAATCATATTTGAATCTTTCTCAATAATGGACTATTTATATTGGGTATGGACAATATGTGAGTATGAAAAATATACCCTTATGAAATCCTAGATTCTTTTTGAATGAAGTAACCGAACCAAGATATCCTAACAATCATATATTGAACAAAACCAATTCTCAACCGAATTGATTGGTTCGATTATCTCTTTAAGGTTCTCGGTTTTTCTCAGGATTCAATGATAATTCAATTAATTTACAAAAGATGTTAGGAAGTACAAGTTGAGAAAATGACATATATAACCTAAAAAAGTTTCTAGTTTGCTCAATTGGCCTCAATTATAAAAATTGATTCCACTGACCCAATTTAAATTTTTCTGAAATTTCAGAGAGTATATAATTAAGAATTTACCCCCGATTTAATTAAACTACAATGAATCTGGCAAGGAATCACGTAGGTTGATGTAATTAAAACCATGAGCGAGTTCCACTTGATTCATGACCATGAATTTATTAAAAGTACCACCAACTTATTAATTTCCCACCAATTTTTTGTACTATCATTTAATATATACTCACACATTCGCACAGATTGCAAAGAATAAAAGTATGTTTTAGTCCTTATCGTCCTCATGCACATCTTTCACGTTTTTTTGAAGAACTTCCACACATTTTCCAACATTTTTCACATCTTATGAATACCTCGAAGGAAGTCAATTTTCCATCTTTGACATCTTGAACGAGGTTAGTTTTTTATTGGTTCATAATATTGTTTTCGATTCGTCCGGAATATGATGTATGTAGTTGGAGTGAATGAAATTTATGAACTTTTATGAGTATTTTTGTGGGTCAAAAGTTATGTAAGTCAATGCCCGTGCTATGACTATGGCCGTGGTACGACCGTGAATTTGAATCTGTCGAATTTCAATCCCTGTACAAATTGAACGAGGATATTGATTCTGTCGAATTTCAAGGCCACAACCATGGCCGTGGTACGACCATGAATTTGGACAGAACGTAAAGTACATCTAATCACGGCCGTGATCTTAACTTTCAAGGCCATGGTAAAGCAAACAATTTAACCACGGTCAAACCTAGCCAATTAGTTGTCTTTCATGAACACCACGGCCGTGGTACTATTTTTCACGGCCATGGTCAAGCTAAAAATTGGTTAGGTTATTTTCATGGCCATGGTCAAACTAACACTAACTGTGGCCATGAAAACCTAACATGTTGTTAGCTTGACCATGACCATGACCATGAAAATAACACCACGACCGTAGTGTTCATGAAAGACAACTAATGGGTAAGGTTTGACCGTGGTTAAATTGTTTGCTTTACTATGACCTTGAAAGTTAAGACCACAGCCGTGAATTAGATGTACTTTATCTTCTGTCCAAATTCATGGTCGTACCACGGCGGCCTTGAAATTCGAGGGTATATTCGTAATTACATACTCTATGAAATGTCATTAAAATTGGGTCAGTTGAGTCAATTTTTATAATTGAGGTCAATTGAGCAAACTAAAAACTTTTTTAGGTTATGTATGTCATTTTCCCGTACAAGTTTTTCTCGGGATCCAGTGATAATTCAATTAATTTACATAAGATGTTAGGAAGTACAATGTTACAGATTAAATGTATCTTTCGATTAATATAAACAATCAATCGATATTTGCCAGCGTATCATGGTTAAAATATGTTGCTCTATAAGTTTAATACTTCACCCTTATATTTATTGTACTAAAAGAAATCGACATTTCAAATCTATTTCATATCTAATAGTGATCAAATATAAAAATATATTCTTAATTTGTATATGTTATGAATATAGATACTAATAATAAGATATGTATCTTATTTAAGAAGTGAAAATAACTTGATTTATAGAAATTTCCTGATATTGGCATGTTATTGATATATCAATCATAATATATATAAAATTAAAAGTTTGACGTCGACATCAATGTTGGTACTATCCCTGCTCGAGATCCATTTAGAAAGGAAGAATAAAAAAAAAATTGAAATTGAGAGATAAAGAAGATTGAAAGAAGTGTATGACATGAATATAAGAAAATAAAAGATAGAATAAACAATTTTTATATAAAGGGGCAAAAATTTTTACCTAATATCTTTTACTATATATATTAATCTTCCAATTTTGAGGATTTGATAGAATCAAATTATAATTATAATTAAAACATAAAAATCTTAATATTTTAATATAGCTTGTTAATCTATGACATTTTGTATAGTTAGGTTGTATTGAAGAATATCCAAAAATTATCCATTTTAAATATTTTGAAGAGCCTCCTTAAAAAAGGAAAAAATAAAATTATTATAGTTCTAATGATGAGACATTTCTCCAATTTAATTTTTATTATTTAAAAATTTTAATTTAGTCTCTCATCATTCCAAATTTTACGGATTATAATTCATTAAAAAATATTGACAATAAATTTTAATGACATAATATAAAATAATTGGCAAAAATTTAGAGGATAATAAAGATTATACAAAAAAATTCAGAATTTCTAAAAATTTTTGAGAAATTTGAACCATGAATTAAAAATGTTCCTCTCTCAAATGAATTTTTTTTTTTTTTGGTCTAAAAATTTGCTAATTCACTCCATTATAGCTATGCAAGTTTAACATCAATTAATTTTAATATTTATTGACAATTGAGAGGTTAATTTAAAAAAAATTTAAATACAAGAGATTAAAAATTTAAATCGAAAAAACACAGCAACCGTCTAAGACATATTTAGGAAAAGGAAAAATGATCCGGTTCGGTCCAACTAAACCAAATTCTCATAAAAAAACCGATCCGAATTGTAGGCCCGAGCCACATCGAGTTTCTATAAAACGAACATTATCGCGCGAGTGGGGAGAGAGCCGAGAGTCGTCGAGATTTGAGAGGAAGTCGAGAGATGTCGACTCAAGCTAACGATCCACGGCAGCCGTCTGCGGCGAAGCCTTACGTTGCTCCGGCGGTGAGCCCGCAAGATCTGCCGGTCGATTATTCCGGTTTCATCGCCGTAGTTTTCGGCATCGCCGGTGTCATGTTCAGGGTATTTCTATTTCTTTTTGAGCACTGGTACGGTAACTATGGCGATCTAACTTTTCACTCACTCGGACTCTTTGTTTTGGTTTAATTTGAGCAGTACAAGCTTAGTTCGTGGCTGGCCATCATATTTTGCGCCCAATCGTTAGTGAATATGAGGAACATGGAGAACGATCTTAAGCAGATTTCCATGGCCATGATGTGAGTTTTCTTGGCATCCCGCTCTCTATTTCTCTACTCATTCACAAAAGTTTCGAATAGGTTTTGTAGCGTGCACATGGTTTGTTTGATCTTTGATTGATATACTTCTTTCCTTAAAATTCAAATTTCGCTGGAACGGAGATTAAGTACCTTTGGGGTTGGAATTGTATCATGTTAATGGGATTAATAGGTGAATTGAGTTTGTCTGAAATCCGAACAATCTAAATTCGGTCTAGGTTGACTTTTCCGTCATAACGTAGATGCAAGAGTTAACGTTTCTTAGCTAGGGATGGAGCTAATATTTAAGGGTTAAACCATTTTGCCTGGCAAATTAATCTGCCTATCGTATTGGATTTAATATTTATTCGATACTTTGCACAACCGTGTATCATAGAACCGGGCACAACTTTCGATCATTCTTTCAATGTATAAATTTCTGAAATCATTGTGAAATTAAAAATTGGAGTACAACAAATGTTAGTACTGGCGTTTGGGTGGCCTGGTCTTGTTTTGATGCCCTGTTTTTTTGGTAGCTAGTTCATATCAAATATCAATTAACTAATTTTTTCCTGGCTAATTTAACTGATTTTCAGTTAGTGCGGCTGTGGTTCAACACTAAAGATTATAGTTAACTCAGGGTATTGGGGTGTGCTATGGTAACACTGGTCATGTTAAGAGGTAAAAATTTCGGTTGGTTCAAATCTTGGTAGTCGCCCAATACACCGAGATTTGGGAACCTTGAATCTTAGATATAGATTGGCATCTACCATTCTAGTTCTGGTTTACCTCATGTGGGCTTGAAACGTTATGTGGAAATAATGAACACTCTCCCCTTCACAGATTTTTATTACCATTTTTATATATCCTCTTGCTCTTTCCTTTGCTTATTACCCTTTTGTCTTAATCTATAAGTTTAAGAGTCTTAGACCAGCTAACTTGTAGCTAATAATTTTTGTGAAAATCACTTTGCTTTCTAAGATGAACCAGAAATATGAAATACAAATTGGACTGAAAACTTGCAGAATAAAAAAAATACAGTAAAACATTCCAAGTTAATGGAGCCTGGAGGAACTTGGAAACCTCCCTCCCGAACATACTCAAGCTTGAACAACTGAATAAATGTTGCCTTCCACTCCCCTTCTCACTCTATTCATAATCCACCTCATTCTAGCAAACTCCTTAGCTAATGATTTTAATATGGCCTTGGAACTATAACAATATTTCTAACATCTACCATAATAGTATTCCCAACTGTTTCTTGGGATATAGTTTTGAGTGAATAACAGGGGTGTCATCCATCCATTGATTGTTCTTCAGTTGTAATATTATTCTCTTATTCACGTAATGAATAAAAAGGTTAGGAAAGAGTTTCACTTTCCCGTATGATGGCTTTGTTTGTTTGTGTGTTGATGGTTGATATATTTGGGGAAAATACTAGGTGAACTTTACTTGGGCAATGGGGGTTGTGAGAATCTTGTGAGAGGATTGCAGTGAGTCGTCCCGTAGAGAGAGTTTGGGTTGTGGCATGACAACTAAAGGTCCGTTTGGTAATATTACCGTTTATTGTTTCTTGTTTTCAATTTTATTTCAAAAACTAAACATTTTGCTACTATTTATAATTGTTTCTTATTTTTTCAGAAACACTTGAAATTTTGAAAACACCAAAAACATGTTTCTTGTTTTTTTTTTTCGTTTCTATTTTGTTCAAAAACATAAATAAAAATATTGTTTTATCATTCCATGGGTATTGGGGTCTTATGCTGCATGAGGCCGGCTGTCATGTGAAATTGCATCTCTTAACACCAATTTGATACCATTTTGTTTCTTGTAATTAAGCAGGTTAAGGCCACTTTATTTTTTTTTCCATCTACTTTTTAAATACATTTTCAAAATCTAAGTTAAAATTATTTTACGGCACCAAATGTTGTAGGCTCAGGCAGTTGCCTCGTGAGATTAGTCGAGATGAACACAAGTTGGTTCAGACACTCACGAATATAAGAAATATATATATAGCTAGTTTTTATTTTGAAATTTAGCTAAGAATTGAAATGTGTTTTTACGTATCAAAGAAATTGTGAGCAAACCATCGTAATTTTAAAAAATATAAGATAAAAAGTGAAATGATTATCAAATAGGGCTTTGATTAGAGTATGGGCTGAGAAAGAAGAGAGGGTTGCATGATAGTATAGTTTTCAACGTCAACTAACAGTTTGATGACAAAGTTGACTGAATACGAAACTAGTGAGGATTGGTGATTCCCAAAGCATTTTAATGGAAGCGTTATTATAAAAATGTTTATTGTATGAAGGTATCAATGCATTTTTCCTAAACTTCATATTATTTTAAGGTAAGATTTAGTCCAAGGCAGGTCATCTTGGGTTCCTCGCATCATAACTTGCCTGACTTAAGAGTGCCTATGGCTTTTGGCTTTTGCAGCTTTTTAATATGATTCACATTCATTAGCATGTGGCTGTAATGTAACACTCTTTTTTGGTCTCAAATCCAGGTTTGCTATTATGGGATTAGTTTCGAACTACTTGGGTCCTGCACGATCAGGAACAAAGAGTTAAGACTCCTCCCTCACAACTGTTATCTACTCTTCCTTTTTTCTTTGACTTAAAAGTTCAATTTAGGAGCCTTTTATGGTGGGCGACTGTTGTTGTTGTATTATGTTTTTAAAGAAAAATCTGTGGGCAGGAAATATTGGGGGATGAGCTTCCGAATCAACATTAATGCCATACGATAATACGAATGAGTTATTTGAGTGAGATATTGTGCCCAGCGATTTTAAAACCTAAACCCTAAACTCATCTTTAGTGACTTGAATCCTAAACCTCACTAGGGGTGTTCTACAGATCTAATGATTCGAGAAATCTGTTCAACCCAACCGAAATTGCATGGGTTGGGTTGCGGGTTCTAATAATGGTTTTGGTTCCTTTGGGTTCTAATAATGGTTTTGGTTCCTTTGGCTTTACTGGGTTACCAATCCATGGGTTGAGTGATTTGATTTGAAATTATTATTAAAGTGGTTGTTTTGTGAGATTAGTCGAGGTGCGCGTCAGCTCGTTCGAACACTCATAGAAATATATAAAAAAAAAAACTCAAAAGTCTTTAGTGTATCATTTTTCATAAATATAATACGAAATATAATACAAAATGTAACTATGACATTTACAAATTTTTTATTTTAGTGAAGACAGTTAAAATAATTAAAAAAAAGATCAATTACTCATGTATTCGGTAAAGAAGGGTCTTTACAGGAGTTTTATTCGAACTTGGCTCGTAATATTAATGTAAATTTTATATCTTTCAACGTTCACAAAGTAGTAAATACATAATACATACATCTTTTTTTAAGTTTTTTCCCCCTTCCTCCTTTCCTTTTTGTGTTTGCTACAAGAAAATTGTTTTGAAGAGCACGCTTATTTTCCAAAATTTATTCTGTACTGTTTAATTAAAATAACTATTTGTCTGTTTTAAACAAACAGATTAAAATATGATAATCAAGTATTTTATCATTATTGGAATACAGAAATTACTATACTTACGGAGGCACTCTAATTTGTTTTACTATAACATTTGTTTTACTCTAATTTTGAGTTGGAATTAAGGATAGTTTATATCAAAGTATAGCTATAATGACTGCTTCTACAACTGTTGTTTAGCCAATAAGTGAAATCTACTCATTTTCACTCTCACATTAAAAAAATTAAAGGTGTAATTTCACGACCAAAAATGTAAGTTTGAAATTAAAATATTAAAATTAATCTTGGGTTACTTACTAATTCCAAAATAATAAAAAACCGAATCTGATTTGATCATCATATATGAATTAGAAAAACCACTCTCTTTCATTCTCTCTCTAATAGGAAAGAGTAACTTTTATGCAAGTGCTAGTTATTATTCTTTATTGTTTAATGTAATATGTGTACTTTTTTAAAGAAATTGTGCATGATAATTCGCCACAAATATGGTATGATATTGCCTATTTTGAATTTAAGTCATATGTTTGTTTCGGGACACATCGAGAGCCCAATAATGACTAATTATTTTGGATAAAGGAACTGCAAGTCTCCTCTCATATAGTTATTATAGGTTTGCTTCCAACAACATTGAGAGCTTACTCTTAGTCAAAGTCAACTTTTCTTCTCTAGAACACATTATATGTCTAATTGAGATCGATCACAAATAATATCATGAGAGAGACAATCGATGCTGAGCACTCCTTGTCGTACCCTAAAGAATCCTTCCTACAAGCAAAAATCTAACAAACTTCTTTTGCATGCTGCAATGTTTGATGGAAAACTTTTATGTGGACCACATTATTGAGATAGCTAGCTAGAACTCACCACTTTTTAGAACTTATCCACGATTTCACAGAGACGAGCTCATCACTTTTTTGTTTGACACCTAAAGGTTACATTAATACGATTAAGTTCGGGTGGCATGACTTTGATGTCTTTGTTAGAACAATATTGTTTGATTCTAGAATTACTGGACTGTCTTCAAATTTTTGGAACCGTAAAGAACAATTTCAAATAGTCTAAGAAAGAACTTATAGTAAACATTTTTCTTGTAAGAAATAAGAGATGGGCCTTGTTGTAAAAATAAAAGAGATGGGAAAAGTGAAAAAAATAGTTTATATGAAACTAGGTGGAGTTTGGTAAGGAAAAAAGAACATTTTAACCATTAGAATCTCACTTTGTTCAGTACTTATTTTTACTAAATTTTATGTAGTGATCCTTACTTACATGAATCTATGAGACTTGCAAACACAAATTTAGTCCTTAGGAGTGGGTTTAAGAAAATATGAAAAATACAACCATTACTTGACATGTTTCTTTGGAAGAATGCCCATGAGGCCTTGCTTAACTTGTTTCCATAGCTTCCAAGCAATTGACACATTTGAAACCGTCCCCCTAGCCCTCTCCTTGGTGGCTTCGTGCTGCCACGTGATTCTGTTGGTGGAATCAATACTTTGTTTATATATTTGATTTAAACGTTGACGATAGAAGGGTGAATTGAACAAGTGCATGGGACTAAATTGTGAGGCCCTCTTCAAATGACTCATCATCGCGTGAAACTCTTGTGAGTCGTATAGATTACTAGGACGATCTTTGGGAGCTCCCACGGGTTGTTCTTCCATGGAAACACTTTTTTTTTTTTTCCTTTTTTGGAGGCTTTCCTTCGCAATTGTAAAGCTTTTTGGAACTCTTTCTAATGGTTGGTTGTTGTTGTTCAACAGAAATATCTTGTTTTCTTTGGAATTTTAGAACACCGTTTTGTTTGTATTTGCTGGGTTTTTAATTGCTTGATTTTTTTTTTCTTTTGCTTGTTATTAACGTAAGAGTGTTGCATCTTCTATTAAAAATATATAAATTTTTCTTTGTTCTCAACGTCCATATAGCCTTCACGATTTGATGTGCAATCATTTAGACTTAATTAAGCCAAATAATTATAATTATATTTTATAATATGGATAATTTATTAGTTTTCTTCAACTGGTTAAAGTACCATTTCCAATTAAAAAATTGTAAGTTCGATTCCCCTGTGCTAAAAAAATTCCTTTCATTTTTATAGTTAAAAAAATACTTATTAAGTTAGTAATTATTTTGAAATTAAAGATAAAAGATAGGATAGTCTTTTGTACTAAAAAAAAGAGAGTTCTGCCCAACTAAGAAAGAATATACGTGGCAAAAATAAATAATCACATATAGCAAAATCGTGACTTCTATTTGAAAATAACTCTACAAAAATGGAAAAATGACGTGTATATTTTCAACTTGGCTGAGAAAAATAATACACCAACCTGAATATTATCTGAAAATATATAGCATTTATAGACATGTGAGCCCCAAAGTATTGGATCTAGTTGCATAAAAGGCCCATCAACTTGATAGTGGGCCTAATTAATATAATTCAATTGTAATCATATATGAAATTAAACCAGAAAAAAAAATGGTTAGCTTCGTTTTAATCTATATACTTTCAACATTCGTTTTGGTCTATGTACTATTAAAAAATAATTATTTTGATTTATATTTATAAAATTTTAACACAAATTCTATACGCAATAGAAATCATTTAATATAAAGTTACGACTACATTCAAGAAATGTATTGACTATAATGTTGTGTTGAAATTGTGAGCGGAAAAATGAGATTAAAAAATAAAATGAAGGGACCAAAATGATCACTTTTTAAAAGTATAGAGACCAAAATAGACATTTTGAAAATATAATAACCAAAATAAATAAAAGTTAAAAGTATAGGAACAAAAATAGTATTTTAAATTTAAACAAATCAATACTCTACAAAAATAAGTTATAATCTTACCTTGAGAAAAGAAAAAAAAATTCTTACCTAAATAAAAGATTGGTGAAAATATTTAAATGTCTCGTATTCTTCTAGTAAAACATGTAGAGTAGGGATTCGAACTCCTAACCTTTAATAAGATATAAGTACGTTAATTAATTGAGTTATGTTCAAGTTGGCTGCTCTCGCTCATACTAGTTGTAATAGTTAACTACTTAACATTACGTAATCGCTTGGACATTAGGTACCTTCAATCTTTAAATTAGACAACACTTTCATTTTAAAAAGAAGCATGCCACTTGGACTACATGCAAGAGAAAGAAGTCTCTCTAAGCTACACGTAAAAGACAAAAGGGAAAGGGAGTGTTTATGGAAAAATTTATACGAGAGTATCGTACTCCTTTATTTACCCTATAATTTTATATTTATGAATAATATCGGTGGATTGAATTTCATATCATTTTTAGTACAATACTAATGCGACAAACATTCTTGTATTTACGACTGATTCATTTAAAGTAATATTATAATATTAGAGTCTAAATCACTTTTTCTAAACAGAGTCTAGACTCTAGATCATGATAGGTGCATAATCCATAAGTGAAAAAATAAATCCTACTATTATTTTCAGTTAAAAAGTAGATTCACAATTATAATTTAACCTATGATCGGTTTAGAATTGCATCCTTAATATTGTAATTGTTGATGAGAAAGAACTATCTAAATATATCTATTTTTTAATACAAAAAATGTGAAGACGAGAGATTGCGACTTAAACAAGATGTCTTAACGACTAAACTATGTGTTTTTAGTACAACAATTTGAGATATAGGGAATCAAACCTCCAATCTCAAGAAGAGGAGTATATATCAATTATCGTTGAATTATGCTGATGTTGACCGTCTATTTATTTATAACTTAACCAATCTAAGATATTAATTATATCAATTAAATCTCCAAAGTTCAAAACGAACTCTTTAAAATTGCGTTATTTAAATTTTAAAAAAAAACGCTGTGGGCCCTCTCCGCCATAGTCAAGACAGAGCTCGCTCTGCAAAAAAAGTTGAAATCCATGTCCAAATGTGAAGCAGAAGGAGACTAAAGCGTTTATTCAAACTCCTCGTCGGTTATTCGTAACGCCATTGAATCACAACGTTACTGCAATGCCAAATCCCCTCTCTCTCTCTCTCCTCTCTCCTCTCTCCTCTCTTTCTCTCTCTAGCGTCTCAATTCAATAACCCCTTCGCAGTGCATTTCACGCTTCTTCCATCTTCCGCTGATTAACAGGGCCGAGTTCTAAGGTAGGGCAACACACCTTCAAATCGAAGCTTGATTTCTCTGAAATGTCGGTGTTTCTTCTGCCTCTTGATTTTCTTTAATGTTTTTCTACTCTGATTGCATGCGCCCGCCCGTCCATAGCTTTGATCTCACTCAAGGACTTTGAAATTGAAACCCCTCTCCCCGCCCCTTGTTTTCGAGCTTTCTTTCTTTTATATTCTAGAAACTGTGAACTTCCGCTGCTTAGTTGGATTTCTGCCCTTCATCATAGAGGAGTGTCGAACAAGCTTTTTCGCCGAGGGTTTTTCTCTTTTTTGAACATTTTATTACCGTTTTGCCTTGTTTTCAGAGGTGGATTACTGTTTAGAGGCTGAGACTTTTGAGTATGCTTCAAGAATTTGAATCATTCTTGGAATTTTTTTACACTTTCTTTCTATGTATTCGAAGGTTCGTACATAGCTTTAGGCCCAAGGTTTCTTCACTTTCCCGCTTAATTATTACCCATGAAATAGAGGTAAAGATTGCTTCATTCTTGACTTGATGTTTTCATTTCAATCTTGGTGAAACTCAAGGAAAATATCTGACAATTTCTACGTCTCAACCAACTAACAATTATGGATTGTATTTTTTTTTCTTTCTTTATAGATTTCTTTTTTACGATTCTTTAAGAAAACGAAAGGACTGCTTCTTTAGTGTGATGGATAATGGATATACCTTGGGAAACATGATTTTTGGTGGTTGACTTGTTGGTTGGTTCTTTTTTGAAATATAAAATTACAATCATTAATTGAATCCCCTTGTTTGTTACTTGCTGCAGAGTTGCGTTCTCGAACGTGTTGAACGTCCCTTTCAACCTTTCAAAATCTGACTTTGCTTTGCATAGTGAAAGTAGCACAGGTATAGATCTTAAGATGGAGGGGTCTTTGTTTTTTTTTTCCTTCCTTCTATGACTATTTAAGGAGGTTGTAGCACCTTATTTTCTTGTAGAAACTTGCTCTCTTTTGTTTCTAAGGCTCAGCTGGAGCTGATCTTTTACTCTACTGTTTTCTTTTCATCTTTTCCCTAGTCAACATAACCCTTTAAAGTTTTTTGAGAGGTACTATAATCTAATTGCGTTCTGCCTATCTAATTTGTAAGCATGTGCATAATTTTTTTTCATAGAACTTGCTTTGAAATAGATTTGCATTGAAGGACCTAGTTTGTTATTAACTTGTATGGTTCTTTTTCCCAGTATCGAAATTTCTGGCTCGTGGGTTGGATATCACCCGCATTAAAAGTTTGTCCTCATTGTGCACAATCTCTTATTACATGAAGTATGAATAAAGGGTCTAGAATATATGGGATAATTCTTGGTAAATTTACCTTAGCGTATAATTTCTTATTCTAGAATACGAGGTTTTGGCATGTTACTATCACTTGTTTGGTCAGTCTTAGGCCTTCAACTTCAACAACACCCCCCAACACACGCCCCAGAAATGGTTCTAGTTTGTTTTTTGACTGGTTTGATCAGTTTGGTTCTGGATTATTTTTCCTCCATTCAGGCTTCAACTGAGGAAAATGGTGAAGATCTGCTGCATTGGAGCTGGATACGTCGGTGGCCCTACAATGGCAGTAATAGCACTAAGATGCCCCTCAATTGAAGTTGCTGTTGTTGACATCTCTGTTTCCAAGATCTTAGCCTGGAACAGTGACCAGCTCCCTATTTATGAGCCTGGTCTTGATGAAGTAGTGAAGCAGTGCAGAGGAAAGAACCTCTTTTTCAGCACAGATGTTGAGAGGCACGTCTCAGAGGCTGACATAATCTTTGTTTCAGTTAATACTCCGACAAAAACTCGAGGCCTTGGAGCTGGCAAAGCTGCAGATCTCACATATTGGGAGAGTGCAGCCCGAATGATTGCAGATGTATCAAAATCAGATAAGATTGTTGTTGAGAAGTCAACTGTTCCAGTTAAAACAGCAGAGGCAATTGAAAAAATCCTTACCCACAATAGCAAGGGAATCAAATATCAAATTCTCTCAAATCCGGAGTTCCTTGCTGAGGGTACTGCAATTAAAGATTTATTTAACCCCGATCGGGTTCTCATTGGAGGGAGAGAAACTCCAGATGGCCTCAAGGCAATTCAGGCTTTGAAGAGTGTATATGCCCATTGGGTGCCTGAAGAAAGAATTCTCACCACCAACCTCTGGTCAGCAGAGTTATCAAAGTTAGCTGCCAATGCATTTTTGGCCCAGAGGATCTCATCTATCAATGCTATGTCAGCACTCTGTGAGGCGACTGGTGCGGATGTGACACAGGTCTCACATGCTGTTGGAAGAGATACTAGAATCGGACCCAAGTTCCTTAATGCGAGTGTTGGTTTTGGTGGATCGTGTTTCCAGAAGGACATTCTGAACTTGATTTATATTTGTGAATGCAATGGCTTGAATGAAGTTGCAAGCTACTGGAAACAAGTGATCAAGGTCAATGACTACCAAAAGAATCGATTTGTGAACCGGGTTGTCTCTTCAATGTTCAATACAGTTTCAGGCAAAAAGATAGCAATTCTCGGGTTCGCCTTCAAGAAGGATACAGGTGACACAAGGGAAACTCCTGCAATTGATGTCTGCAAGGGACTTTTGGGGGACAAGGCAAAACTGAGTATATATGATCCACAAGTAACTGAGGACCAGATTCAAAGGGATCTATCCATGAACAAGTTTGATTGGGACCATCCAATCCATCTGCAGCCAGTGAGCCCAACGGCAGTAAAGGAAGTCAGTTTTGCTTGGGACGTGTATGAGGCGACTAAGGATGCTCATGGAGTCTGCATTCTTACTGAATGGGATGAATTCAAGTCTCTCGATTTCCAAAGGATTTTTGACCAAATGCAGAAACCAGCATTTGTTTTTGATGGCAGGAATGTTGTTGATGTTGAGAAGCTGAGGGAGATTGGATTCATAGTGTATTCCATTGGAAAGCCACTGGATCCATGGCTCAAGGATATGCCTGTTATGGCATAGAAGTCGCCTGGAGATGAGAGATGGAGAACTCTAAGATTGATGATCAACCCTTTTTCTGATATTCATTGTTCTTAACTGCAAGTTGGTTCATTTTTTTATTACTGTATTTAGTTTAAACTTGGAACATTTGAATAAGTTTTACTCTGTTTTAATAGTTCTCTATACAATCATCAATCAAGTTTTATGTTGACAAATCCAAGTCTAAATCATGTGGTTTTTCTTCCTAAAGTTTAATTTCAAGGCAAATAGATATTTAACATTAAGGATAACCACAGGAGTTTTGATCCATAATGTGGAGTTAGATTCCCTCTCCTCACAAAATTTCAACATATATTTAGTATAATACCACCCAGTTTCTCACTCTTTATACTAATACTACTAATACTTAGATATTAGATATTGATTGGTCAATACACACTTTCTTATATTTTTCTGCTGACCACCAGTAAAAATTTGACAAATAGACTTTCAGAAAACAAAAATAAAACATATTTATTTTTGCATTTTACTCTCCTATTTGTCAAAAATTTAACGGTGGTCAACAAAAGAAGGGTGTCAATCGGTTAGCACTTAAGTATTAGTCATAGTCACTAGTAAAAATCTGGTATAAAACTATAAACTATACATTTCTCAACTGGAATTGTCAATCCCGCATTCCCAATTCGGTCTGTGGATTTCTAACAAACAAGTTGAAGTCAATGAATAAATGGGGCCTAAGTTTAGTTTCTAAAGATGAGTAACATCAGTGTGGTGAAGTTTTATACATCGAAAGCAAAATCATTAAAATTGCAACATGAACATAGCACATATGTAAATGATATCTACTCTTTTTTAAGCCGGAGATTAAAATCTCCACACCCCACTTTTGTTGTAATATAAAAAGAAAGAACGATCATTCAAACGCACCAGAAAAAGGGGAGAGACTCCAATTGAAACCTTACATGAAATCAAGCCATCCGAGTTCACAGTTCCCCCGAAGTAGATATCTGCAAAGTTGGTAACATCTTGTGGCATTATAACAGCAAGCACGGCTAATTAATTCTTTTGAGTGTGTTGACATAGGTATAACTGGAAAAGGTAACAAAGAGCTTGCGGAACCTGCCAGATCGAAGATGGGCAATTAGAAGACGGGTAAAGGATTTTCCCAGCCACCCAAAACCCGATTTCATTGCTAATGGAACCAAGTGAAACATGGTATTCAAAATGAAATGAGAGAACTCGTGTTCTGGCTCTCAAATAAAGATCACTACACATACATACCAAACCCATTGGCTTGAGTGCTGAGCCATTGCGAGGAAGCTTTTCTGGGGGCATTCATTTAATAAGCAATGCATCATTCCACTTGTATTCTCTTTGGATAACATAGATAACCAAATGTCGAATGGTCCACTATACTTGCGCAGTATATTGGTACTGACCTGGGAATAAGAATAAACAGGGAAAAGTTAGGTCATGGTTCAAAGTACCAATTAAATATAAACTGGAACACCTAAGACCTGAAGATAAATGGGTCATAGACACACAAACATGTTATAATAGACACCAAAATCCCTACTGACTAGATTAGGCAAGAATTACTCATGATTTGCTTAAAATATCTTTTGTCTGCTATTAAGCATAAAAAAATAGATATAATAACTGAACCCTGAACTTTAAAGCATTTACTAGTGGAAATGGAAACTTAAGTTAGGAAGAATAAAAATCCCGCAAATGAGGGATTCTAAACTCGAAGGTTAGCCAACCTTAAAAAGTGACTGAAGGAGAATTGAGTATGTAGAGAAGGAAAACTTACAAGTTCCCAGGCCTCAAAACTTTGTGGAACTTTATTAAGCAAGAAACTTCTGTTTACAGCATTGGAAAAAAAAAGTTAAAGATTTGTTACTAGAGAGAAGGAGAAATACATCATGATTACACTAGGCATGGAGTTGATAGTGAGAGCTCTCTTTTAATTTACAATAAGGTACACTAATATAAATATAAAGACATAAACATTACATTCATCTTCAACTCTCAATTTTTGGATAATATCCCATGACTGATTACTTCATTATAGCAGTCAAGCATGGGCAAGGTAACATTTTCTTCTGAGAAATAAATAAACTGTCCAGCTACAACCTACAACTAATATACATATATATAAAAACTGTTAAAACAGAAGCAAGAATGAATAAACTATTTTCCATTAGGGATTCAGCAAACAGAGCAGACAGAAACGTAAGTTAAGTCTTCATCAAAAGAAAAAAAAAATTTGCTAGTTTAAAAGTGATTCTAAATTACAGTGCAGAGAGTAGAGAACAGGGTTTGGGTTCACAAAATACGTAGACTTAGAAGCAATCAATCAAAAGGTTGGAATGGTTTAGGATAAAGAATAAAGATTGTGGAGAGAGCAACTTTTAGTTACTGTCATTTGATAGAACCCTCAAGTATATAATTCTCCAATTTCGATAAATGGACTAAGTATGAAAAGTTTTGACGTTAAAAAATATCCAATTTACAAAATTAAGAAGCTAGCTTACTGCACCCCATAGTGCACATCACGGTGATTACAGTGACCAGAAACTCCATAGCTATCAAAGGTAATAATCTGTTAAAAGCCATGAAAAGTGAAAGAACAGAACTTAGGACGTGTTAGATAGAAAATGAAATAAAATTCAGAACCAAAGCTGAACACAGAAATAATATCAAGATTGCGCCGGTAACCAAGTTAAATAAATCCAATAAATTACCGAGTCAATCCCATGGCTTGATATCTCCTGTTCAATAATCTTTGCCAGCAATTTATGATTCCACACTTTGCCAAAACCATCCTGATGGCATCACCATATTGGCTTGGATTCATCACATGCTATCTCAAATATTGACAGTGGAATTAAACTGAACCAGACACTTTTTAGTCAAACCTGCAAATCTGGATGGTCGAGGATCTTCACTTGATTGAGGGGAACCTAGATTTGAACAACAAAAGCAGACTAAATATAGAACCAGAAACCTAAGCGTGCACAAGATTTGAGGGTTTATGACAAGCAACTTTTAACCTCGTCTATATCCC